AAAAAAGGATACTTCCACGTCCTAGCTGCCACTAGTTTGCTCGGTGGAGTCAGGGTGGAGCAATCAAGTGTTGATCCTTCCCGTTTTTGACGTGGGAAAAGGAGCTACCATTTCACGGGAAGGTGAGATTAACTGGGAGAAACGCGTCTTGCCGTGTACATGGTTTTTAGTGTGATGAATTCAACTGTCAATCACAATTGCTTGTTGCCTTTGTACTGTTGATCGATGACATATATAACTACATTTTTCGGAAATTATTTGGATGACGTTTGCGATCCGAGATATTTGAGATTGAGGTTGTTTTTGTTCAAGTAAACTCAGTCAAACTATTGAATCATTTCGTGCAGGATTTGCGTTGCATATGCGGGATAAGCCCAACCGGTGTTGAGGAGCATGACAAGGTGAAAATAACTTATACTGTACATTAACAATAAATAAGGCGCGTATATTTATGAAGTCATACTGAGTGGAGATATACTGGAGCGGTTAGCACAGCGGTAACGCTTGGACTGCGCACTTTTAGTTATGGACAAAGTTTTCTTTTTAAAGGAACGAGAAGTATTTAATTAAAGTTACATTGAATTTAGGAAAAGGTAAACACGAATTACGCTACGGGCAAGAATGTTAACAAGAGTTTTTGTTTTTTGAAAGTCACGTCAGTATCTCTGATAGTTACACAGTACGTGTAAAAGTAAAATTATTACAACTCGATAGGTTACATACGTAATGCACGATGAACTTGACTACTCGTTAAAATTTAATTAAGGATTCATTAGATGTACACCCGACAATTAGGCTTGAACTGAACTCATAGTTTATAGCCTACAAACGTCATTAGAAACGATAGTGAAAAAACATTAAAAAATAATAAAATTCCCATTAACGAGAGTTTTAACAAAAGCGGATACAAGAAAACTCATTTATGAATGTTCCACGATAGCGTCTTAAATTAAATGATGATGAATGTATGTTACTTCCTGTTCAACGTACAAATATTCGTTCATTAACCTTTTCTTCCGATACCAATATCACTATTTATTAATTTCGTACAAACTAGGTCACAAAGTACTAATGTAATTCATAACATGTCAACTACAATTACACGTGTTTTTTTCTAACATTACACTTAATTAACATGTCCGGTACATCCAATCCAAAGTATGTATGAATTTGTTATACCAGCCATATATGCACGACTTAACACGCGCGTTATTAAAAATCGATAATAATTTGTTTGTAACTGCCTTTTTGTACAAACATAATAAATGAAAACGGTGTAAACGAGGTGATAAACATGCATAAAAAATATACCCCACCAGTCGATCGACAGACACACACGTACCGATCAATACCTCACATAGAAATCACTCTTTAGAAAAGAAAAAAACTACGCACAGGTGCAACAAAAACCCCCCCATTTCATAAGCCTCGATTATTACAAAAGCCAACGAGAATGCCACCACTCTCGTATAGCCTCACGAGTATACCCTATACACGCGGTTTCCTCGTTCGCGCATTAGGGCCGTAATCCAGGGGCCACGATGCTCGTCTCGCAAGAGCTTCCAGCCCAGGGACGCTCTTTGTACCGCGGTGGTTTCTCACCCTCGCGCAGAGCAGCTTCTGCCAACGCCTCCCCCGTCCTTACAGGCGTCGTCCTTTGCGCGCAGGGTACAGAGGTGCGCCTCCGAGAGGCTTGCCAATGAGCACGAACGTATGTAGTACCCTCCCTTCCTCTACCTCCCGATGGCGTTTTCCAGGGCTCAGGGCGACGTCTGCTTACCCAACTTTGCTGTTTCGAGGGATCCGATTTGCCATTGCCGATGCGGTGCTCTGTTGGCGCGTATTGAGAGTTTGGTGCCGAGGTGGGGATCTATATCTTCGGACGAACGGATTGATGGTGGCTTCTTTACGTGGCCGCTGAGAGGAATTCGATGTCACGCCACGAGCAAATTTGGGATGCATTTCATTTTAGTTTATACTGTGGCGGATTTTGCTTGTATGTATGAATGGACGATCGGTGTACGTTATTGTAAGGACACTAGTGGAAGCGTGTCATTTTAAGAGTAAAATCATTTTTAACGATCAGTTAGAGTTGTGCGAATGCATGTGTGTAAATAATATACTATTTCGGACTAGTTCGAGTAATTGTTGTCCAATTCGGCTCACGTTCGGAGGGTAATTTTGAATTCATGCTCAAACGTTGTGGTTTGTATTTTAAAAGGTTTTATCGAAGGATAAAAAATATCTGCAGCTACAGCACAACTCACTAAAGTCATTCAATGTACACGCAATATTTACATTCTGAGTGAAAAATTTTGACTTTACCAATGATATTGGAGTATTCGTACTGACAAACGTTTATCGACAACAATTTCAAACGTTTTACGAGGCAGAGCTCTTCCCTTTTGAATATTGTATAAATTTTACTGCTTTGCAATATTCGTTGCAAGAAAAAAGTATCCATGTGCAGTAATAACATCCACATTAATTTACGTGAAACTAAAAATAAAAATAAAAAAGAGATGCAATAAATACAGAAGTAATTTATCTCTTCCGAGTACCACGAAATATGCTCACACCCATATGGATACATAGGAATATCAGTATTATAATAACACATCCAAAAAATCGAATGAAGCACGAACAGCGCAAGCTTTGATACGCCATTTCAACATTTACATATTTCAGCGAGAGAACGTCGAGAAAGCTATCGAATATCGAAAATGCAAGGGAGACGGGGATATTTGTTGTACGCAATCGAACAGGCATTTTTCCCGAAACGCACCACAGGATCCGGGTTGTAATTTTTTTTAACGATATGGCGAATATTACTTTTCGAAATAATCATGCACGGTGGTAAATACATTTATTTTTCAATATCGCGGGCCGGGAGTTTCTCGAATTTCTGGTCTTTGGACCATAATTGAGCTTTAAAAATCATACCAAGCCTTTGAACCGTGCTATCGTTAGTGATGGCTTTTTTGATCATGTTTGATTATTGTCCATTTTTTTTAAATGAAACTAAAAAACACAAATGTGTCAGGTTTCACGAAAAAAACATTATTAAAACCTGTGACTTGAGCTTTTACTAACTATTGAATTACTTATTTATTTTATTCTCATATTTACTGATTAAAACACAGTTTTTTTGGCATCGCTCTTCATTTTTTTCAAATTAATTTTATCGCAACTTTTTACGTAGAATCCATTTTATTTTACAAAAATAGTATGCTGTAACTGTAGTTTTAATTTTAACATGGATACATAGCATTCCAGTTACAGAACTTTATTGTTCGTTAAAATAAAATTTGAAAAAGGATAAAAACCTGCATTTCGAAGAATTATCATATTTAACTAATTGTGGCAAAAATTATGAATTACCGGAGGTACATTATTATAGTTGTGTAAATTAGATTACATCAAATGTAAATTGATTGTGCAAATGACTATTGAAAGAATTTTCGTTTGTTTCAACACTGTAGTTCATTTCATATATACAGACCACCATGAATTCTATCAAGGCATTTATTACCCTCAACTGAATTTATACTGTGGGAGAAAAAACTACATTTAATTGTCTCAACTAAATATGAGCCCAGCTACTTTCATGATCTTGGATTCGAAAAAATTGATATTATAGTGATTTTTATGTTCTTTCATTTTGAAGTTTCTACACATGCAGAACGTCCATATTAAATACAGATTGTTAAGTTGAAAGAATTTTTATACATTATATTTTTGTAAATTTAAATTTTTATACAATTTCATTTTTAAAATTCTTTTGTATGTACGTGTTTATACTGTTTGATATATTTATATTTATTGATAAATCTGAAGGTGCCAACCTATACACGTTGACGAAAAGATTGTCACCATTGAAGTGGACAGTGTAATTATTATTTTGTCTCTATCAACTATCACGTTTATCTTGATTTAATATTACCTATGAAGCTTTTTACCACAGTTAAAAATAAAAACTGCGTTTTTCGACATTTGCTGCTACATAAGACAAATTTTTCCTACTTTAATAGTTCATTTGTAAGTGAGTTTACGCGATGACGACGCAACAGCCCACTCCCTCCCCTGGTATACTCTCCTGAAAAAATACTAATTAAATTCTTTATCCTCCAGAACTACACCCCGAGCCATTTCCTTTTAAGCCCCCATTCTACAAAACACTTGCCCCCCGTAATTACGAGAGACGATTCCTACCCCAAGTGCAAGTCACGGGAGTAAAAGCAAAGAGCGCTCGGAGAAAAAAAAGTCACGGCTATAAATCCCCAGTACTCGCCTCACACGTGCAATTTCTCCTGCGCTAAATCCGAGAACATCGGGAGGATATTCGACGGAGCGTGACTCGCTCTCCTCGTGCCAACGTACACTGGGTCGCCCCTGTATGCCTTCGTTTCACCCCTCGATCGAAACTTTGTTTACCCTCGGCTTTTGACGTATTTTTCTTGCCCCTACGAGCGTAAGTGCGATAGTGTAGGAGAGGATTGTTTTTTCAAATGGAAGAAATGGTAAATCACAAACTCATTTACCTAAATGCTTCGGGTCCACGGGGGAAACAGAAAAAATCGAGACAAAGTACTATTTCGCTGTTGAATTTTTTTCCCCGCAGATTCATGGTATCAAAATAAGTACGTGATAATATCTTATAAAATCTACAGCTCACTGTTAGTTGTCTGTTATATTTAAAAAAAGGATCGTGTTATAGGATAAATATAACTGTATCATATGGTAGTGCTTTTATTACTACATACCCACTGTTTTATTTCATAGTTAACTATGTTAAATAACGTATTTTTTCTCGTAATCTTATAAATTTTACGCCCAATCTTCTATTCATCTACACAAACTGTCAATAATAATATTTAGTCGATTTTTTCGAATGCCTAAGGTGAAGAAAATATTTAATAATGTTAAACAGCTTTGAAATTTCAATTTATGTTGACATACATATTATTGAAAGTTAAAATAGATCTCAACGGAAAAGATAGTTAATTTTTTACATTCTTGACTTCACAATCTGTCCCAGACAGTTTCCGAGTTAATTCATGCAACGGGCGATTACGATACCTGGAAAAAATTGGTTTCTTAAACAATTTATATTTTGTTTCAATTGACCATGAATTTAAAAATTAATTTTTCTATTTTAATTCCACGTTATTTAAAATTAAAAAATACCAGCTAACAAAATAAACAAATTTGCACCCATGGTCTGTTATAACTAGTTTGAAACTTGAAATTCGCTTTTTAAATATGCTTATGAATTATAGTTGACCTTTTTTTAATAACACTAAGTTATTTATTTTTTTTATCAAGTATCATAATGATAAATTAATGTTCGTGAAAAGCTAAACCAAATAAAGTTTAAGATCAGTAAACTACAAAATGCTAAAAAATATTGATTTAAGGTATTAACTTACAATTCAGTTAATTTCCGGGTCAAACTATCTGTGTACTGACAAATATCTTTGCACCCGTATCCTCTAGTGCAGCCGCTGTAACTGCAAGTGCCCCCGCGTTTTTGGGGATAAATCAACCTTTCTTTACCAAAGGAATAAACACACCTCGGGACGCATTGACATCCACGGAGACATCCGTTTTTTCTGCATGAATAATTTTCTTTATACCTAGGCACTTGCTTTCCAAAAGAAGCCAAAGGTTGTTGACCTACAAAAAAAATGGATATCTACTCGATTGTTGTTCAAATTTTGGATGCCTGGAGTGACCGACGGGTCCATGTAGTTGAAAATTATCGTTAGCAACGATGTTACCGGTATTGTATATGAGTAAGCTTCATTGGCCACAACCAAGGAAATAAGGCACAGAAAAACCAACAAGTTCGTGCTTGTTTCTTGACTCTAAATTAATGCTCTCATTGAATTTTAGCTGATGTTCTTGTGAATTCCATTTCATTGTTAGGATCTTGCGAGATTTGTGAAGCCTCTTTTTTTTGCGAGAAGTTGAAGGGTACTTTGGTCAAGTGTACATGGTTTTTCGGAGAATAGGTATTTTTTTTTAAACGATTTATTACCAAATTACTAATTTTACGAGTAAAGTGATTAAACGATTCATCTCGTTGTGTGCTGAATCGAAACAATCATTTTATTCTTAAACAAGGAATGTTTTATTCGCGAAGTATTGAATTCATCATTAGAATAATTAGATTTTTTTTTTAAGTGATACAAGCGCATAATTAGTCAGACAAAGTGATTCATTGAAAACCTCATTTAGTTATGAGTCGTACGCACTAACTTGGGACTTGTTCATAAGCATTATTCGTTAAAAATCGAGTTACAAACGTTAGAAAAAATAACCAAAGAAAAGTTTGTAAATTAAATTTGATGGATGCCATGAAACTACAACCTGTGGATATATAACTACCTATCGTTTTTCCTTACCTGGACCAAACAATGATTTATCTAGAGCTATAAAACGTAATATTGATGAAAATTATAAGGGTACCAACTAACGGCATAAAGTACATTTTGATCATCTCAAAATGTTGATTCAGAGCACGTGAGAGAAAACAGAGATAAATGTCAGTAAGGATGGATGCTTTTTGATGTCTTTTCCCATATCAAGTTATAATCGTCAGCTATCAGTATGAGACTGACGGATTAGGTGATTGTTTGACTTCTGCAGTACGTTAGTACTGCCTTAAACAATCCGCGAATGATTGTTCAATAGAAAACCGTCCATAGCAAAACCATGATTGGTTATCATGTGCAATTAAATGTCTATATCTCGTCAATTTGCAACAAAAAACTTAAAAAGAAAAAAATTAAATTATGTTACTTACTTTCCATGGTAGCTGCGGTGAGAGCCAGTAGCCCTGTCAGAACAAGGATGATTGCGTGCATCTACATACAGAAAAACAGAGCTGTTTTATGGATAAAAATAAACGTTTGTAAGCAAAAAGACTTTGTTTGCTCATGAAATGTAAAAAATTTCGACTCTGATGATTTGGAAAATCATATTATTGTCCCCTTACAGAATGTAACGTGATTGTTAAGAGGAAACAATTCTCAATACTTTTGACCTTGAGCGATTTCAAAGGGAATGAAATCTTGAACTTTAGTTTTCTCGTAGATTTTTTGTGATTTTGTAGTCATTTTTTGTTACTTTTATAACTACTTGTCCTGACTTCCTACCAGAATAATCCAAAGTGACATTCTAAAACAGCTAAGTCACTGATAAACACTGCTGTCGTTACACAATATAATTTTTTTGTGTTAAAAAAACCGACCATATTCACGGCTTTTACATAGATAAAAAGTGATCCAGTGTATGGATTTGTATTACTCATATTTATACAAACCATTTGTGAAAAAATAAATATCTTTTTTCTGTCTTATTTATATTACTTGAACCAATTTCATTAAAGACAAATGCAGACTCATACGATAATCCATTACATTGATTACATTTCAGTCATACGTTTTGTGCAAAAATGTAATTTTTTTTTGTCACTTGTAAATAATATCCCTTTAAACTCTGAATTTTCCAGTATGATATAATTTTTCCAAGTAATTATTAAATTTACTTACCACGTTAGTCAAGCTAATTCAAGGGTGGATGAGGACTTGGTAACTGTTGTCAGGCAAATGCTCAGTAACATTTATATACACCTTGATTAAACATTTTCACCTCCCCACTTCTATCATAGCTCGTGATCAGAACACTTTTTCGACCACAAGAAACATTAAAAAAATAGTGGGTTGGCTGGAATGTTAAGGTGACACGTGTGCATTTTATCATTTCATGGCACGATAATATGCAGTTTAATGTTGTGCTGAGATTTTTTATGCCAATGTTTTTTATAATACAAACATTTTTAGGGTAATTATTACAACTTACGACTAAAAAAATATTCACGAATATTGTCAAGCTTGGAAAAATATTCAACAAACAATTGTTCGTAAAATTTTGTTTCTCTTACACAACAGCACATGACGAGGGCAATAATACGTCGAAATGGAAAGTTAATTTACTGCATCATTTAAAATTGATAGAAAAGTGAGAATTAAGTGTCATGAGACCAGCATTCGTATCAGTCATCAGTGGTACTATTAAATATTTGAGTTTAATATTTAAAATTTATATTTTCTTTAATTACCAACAAGTGTACTTACTTTTTCACAAGTACACGTTTCATGCATTCCAACACTTTATGGTCATGTATTTCACTTGATGACAACGTGAGCATACCTTTGAGCTTATCGACTCTACAGAAACGGCTAATGATCAATAAACTTTATTTCTAAAACGTTCAAAAAGAGGTTCTAACAAATTTATATTGTTGTTCTACAAATGTCAAAAATATCCATTAATTTTTGTAAACAAAATCACTTATTGAGTACTTTTGCGTCTATTTGCACTTGCAGTTGTAATTTTTTTTCGCAGCTAAATTTGCGGAAAGCAGATTGGCTTCACGTCGGCGCTTATTGGTATTATTTTTCATTTTATTGAGGATTTAATGGCTTTATTTTTGATATACACACTTATTTATTATTTAACTTTCACATCACAGGGTATCACACGTACAACTAGTGCAAATAAATCTTTTCACAATGCAGGCACTCTTACGTATCCATCACTTAAATTATCATTACATCTTTTCACAAAAATACCAATATTGGAAAATAATCTTTAAAACTTTATGCTAATTATCAGTTAATAACTGAACAAAAATNCTATTTGATATTAGAAATGTTAGCTGATAAAATGAACAAAATTGCACCCATTGCCAAATGTTACTGATTTAAAAATTAAAATTAAATTTTTTTATTTTTTTTGTTGTTGTGATTAAGCAGTAAAATTTTTTTGCTATAACACCAAGTTACTTATTATTTTGATCAAGTCGTCATCATATTAATCAATAGTTGAATCAAGACATCAATATTGTTAAAACACCAGACAAAACAAATTTTAAGATCAGTGAAGTAATGTGTGCTAATAAATATCTTGAAAATGTATTAACTTACAAGGCAGTTAGTCTCTGGGTCCAACTATTTGTATACTGACAAATGTAATTGCAATCATATCCCTTACCACATCCGGCAGTTAAACAAGATTTTCCATCACTATTGAAATTACGTGTACTCCTTTCTGAGCCAAATGCAGAAACGCATTTTGGAACGCATTGACATCCTCTTCGACATCCATTTCTTTTGCATGAATAATTGTCATGATAATAAGGTATTGGCTCCCCAAACAGACCCATAAGTCGTTGACCCTCAAATTTATGAGTGATACTTAATTGTTGTGGTTGTTGTAGAGATATTGGGTATCTGGAGTGGCTGATGGGTTGTTGTTGTTGAAAATTATCGTTGGCACCAAAGTTATCGGTGGATTGCGAACGAGCTGCATTGGCCAGAAACAAGGAAACGAGGGACAGAAAAATGGACAAGTTGATCATCTTGAAAAGTTTCGTACTGCTCACGTTGAATGCTATTTTTTGGTAAACCGTGTAGTATTTATCGTCAAAATTGGGAAAATTTTGTGTGGAGGCAAAGTAATTTGAACAAGTGTTATCGATTTTAATTGACTCTCTGCTACCTCAATTAGAATTAATTCTTATTTTTTCTCAACAATATTAGAACGACTTGTTAACGTCACAGATGTTATCATTTTACTTTTAAAAATGTAAATTTAATTGCCATTAGATTGAACTAGCTCAGCTGCATATACATTGACAATTGTCTAAAGATTTCAATCATTTATTTTTGTTACCGATTCCATAAGCTGTAGAAAAACTAAAAAATACCCATTGCTAACAGATAATCGCACCCATTCATTTTATGTAAACGTATAATCATTTTCTATTATTTCATGCAATTACATTTATCATTCGAACGATAATTTTAAATCAAATAGGTAATAATATCATTTAATAGAATCACTATGACTCATCATACGTATAAAAATAATTCACGTCAATGAAGTGGATATTTCCCAATGTGTACATATTTTGTACATGCCTTACGTAACCTTATGTTTGAAGGATATTATCCGTCACGATGACTTTTTCTACGACTACAACTGATTAATCAAACGACATTTATTACTAACGTCACTTTTAAATAACAGTAAGTGCTTTTTCTGTGCTATACAAAATACTTTTATTTCTGGGAGATCGTATAAAAAATGAAATAAAATAGATAAAAATAATATACTTACACCTGCCGTGGATGATTCATCCTCGAGAACGTCGAGCTAAAATTTTCGAAATAATTTCCATCCCTACGGGATGAAAGAGCGACATTATGATGAAGCTTCGATTTCCATCCCAGCCCTTGCTAAGTACTGGAATGTCAGGCTAGGGCCGATACGTGTGGCGCGGCGCACGGCAAAACTTTTACACATAGTTGTTCACGTGTACAGTAGGAAATTCTTTACCAAAATATTCTTTTAGCCGTACAGTTGGAACTTTGTAGGTCCCTTAAGAGCGGCTATTTCTGAAAAATGTTCGTGATCTACGTAAAAAAACGCCTCCATGCCCATACCTCGAGGTGTTTCGTGATCTTGGGGGAGAAAAAAAGGGGGCAACATTCCTTGTTTTTAAATTGGCCGACCGATACGCGATATCGAACGCGTGTATCTTGGATTATGCAAATGCAAGGTGGTCACGAGTTTCCACTGCCTCTGAAATATGAGTTGACCAATCCATTCCACCCCGTATGCAACAGCTAGTGGCTAAAATATGTAAGAAAAACATTTTCATCCATTTTTAAGGATACCCGTGATAACAGCTACATGAGCAATGATATAAAAAATTTTGCTGAAATACTTACCGCACGAAAGAAACTTTATCGCGCAAAAAGTAAGTTTAGTGCTCTATTTTTTATTTATTTATTTTTCATTTCTTCTGTCCGTCACGTCGAACTTTACAACGCAATGATTCCAATAAAGAAAGTTACGTCATTCACGAGTTTCTCAACTTTATTTTATTTTATTTTTTTTTTTTTCATCGACTCAAAACTCCCGGCTCCACAGGAGCGCAGTTGCACAACGCGTTGTGATTTTCCGAGTGACTTTGTCATGAATCACACAAGAATTGCTTCGCCTCCAAGCTTGCGAGTGTACGTGCGAAGAAACGTGAGCCACGCGAATACACAGCTGCTGTGAACTTACTCCTCTCTCTCTCTCTCTCTCTCTCTCTATCTCTCTTTCTGGCAAAATTACATTCCCTACTCGTGGAAAACCATTGCGAAGAACACGCATGGCTTTTATCGACGGTATCACTGTAAGCCTTTTTTCTTCAACCCTTAATAAACCAGACTCGTGACGACTGTAAACATTGTCGACATAATAAGGCAAAGCTACGTATTGTCAGAATCAGTTTCCGTGGAGTCTTTTTGCAAGTGCCATTTTCTGAGATTCGCAGTGCCACTACTTCAAGATCGGTAATTCTTGCAATTGCTTGCAAGCCCATTTGTCACAAAAACGAAATTTCAAGGCAAAAATTTTCTGTCGATCCAAGCCATAAAACAATAAGGCCAAGTCTCGTTTCAGCACAAGCCGATCCTTCGTCCCCTTTTGCGAAATCCAAGCCTACGCCACAGAGATATCCACGAGTGATTACGCCAGCACGTACACAACCTCGCGCAGGGAAGCCAAGGAAAGGGCGTGAAAAGTAAAAAAAAAAAAAAAAAAGGAACCCGTGCAAGTATAACAAAGAATCCGCTCCAACGCACGCGATAAGGAGTACAAAAAGCGTGGGCATAAATCAAGCTCGCCGCGTCTTTTCCTCATTTTTCTTCCACCCCCTCTTTTTTTCCACCCCTCCAGCACTCGACAGCGTTAAAATCTGTTATTAACGCGTCGCTTTCACGCCGCACGTGCTTGCATGTGGAAACACACGCGGCTTTTCGAATAGGGCGACGGGCCATAAAAGTGTACACGCACAGATCGGACCTTCACCCAAGAAGTGTCTCCGATACGTCGCCCAGGAAGTGCGGAATCAACGAGTGGAGCTTTTCGCTGGAAGGTAGAAGGAAAATAAATGCACGTGGCCAACGCGAGCTTGCAACTTTCACGAGGAGGATATACACCCTCCCTGGCGTTCATCATTTGGATGGCCGGTGCATTAATTACGTGGGCGATAACAAATGACTGCGCCTCTTTTGCGAGCTAATTAGCCCGGCTCGCGCACGCGAAAAGCAGATCAGCGGCTTTGTATTGTATACCTGTACAACGGGAATGAGTTATCAGTCAATGTTGGAATTTCTCTCTCTCTCTGTTGTTTTTCCTTTTCATAAGAATCAATTAGTTGTTGGGTTTTTTTTTTTTTTTTTTTTTTTTTTTTCTAATTGTTGAGATTGTACGGATAATTTGAAGTGACGTTCATCGTTTCGATGAATAATCGTGCCAATTTACGTGGAAAACGTCGGGAGATAAAGTGGGAAGCGCTCACATATTTGGATCCACTCTTGTTGCTTCCGGCAATCCAGCCACGCACGAAACATCAACATTTGAACGAATTAAAGCCACGTTCTCTCTTTGTTCGAGAGATACGAGGTCTGCCTTTATCGGGGAATCGATTGTAATCAACAGCCCAAATTTGTGGGGTATTTTTTTGGTACTA